TGTATAGTTTTATTAAATTTGGTGAATAGCAAACAAAATGGTGTATAGTTTTATTAAATTTTGGTGAGACAACATGTGAAATGTGGTTGGGCTTTAGTCTCGTCATAAAAACTCATGAAAGAAAGCTCTGACAAGAAGTACTTGATGAAGCCAAAAGAACACATTTAATAAGCTCAGATTGGGCAAAATATTGTGCTTATTAAAAAATAAATAAATAACTTATGTCATAGAGGAGCACAAATGGCCCTGGCCACATGTCACTCAATATTTTGAGTTTGTTTGATAAGAAGAAAAAAAATAGTTTTTAGTTTTCCAATTCATTTTAATTAAAAAGTTTTATTTGATAATTGTTTTTTAAATTTTAGTTTATAATTTTTTAATTAGTTTTTAATTTTTTAAAAATTTATTTAAAATAGTTTTTGAACTCGTAACTTTTAGCTTATAATTTTTTATTTTAATTATATCATATTACGAAAAAATGAGTTAAGTAAATCAAGAATTGTAGTTATTAGGATTACTTTTATTTTGATGTCCTCATAAATAAATTTATAAAATATTCATACTTCATGTATAGTTTATTAGTTCTTTTATTTATTGAATTTTGTTGTTAATATATTCATACTAAATAGTAAAGCTCATAAAACATATATACAAATTTATATATTTTGATGATAACTTCAATTTTTTGCATATACTAATATTAAAATTGTTTTGTATGTTGTTATTAATACATTTATTTTTATTGAATAAATTTTAATTTACTAATATAATATAATAAGATAATGAAATCACAAATATCTTAATTAAAAATGTCCTTTCAGGTCATATTGTAATTATTAACTAGTGTAATATCTAATTTATCAAATTTCAAATTAACTTATCAGTTATCAGCTATCAACTATCAACTTACCAACTATCAATTTAATAATACAAATATTTGCTTTTTAGCAAAGAGAAATATAAAAATAAAATAAATAAATAAAAATAAACAAAAACATGTGTCAAAAAATTATCAGACTATTTTTGTTTGGCTTTATGGTAATAAGTAGTTTTCTTAAGTTTATTTAACAAACTTGAACTTTTTATTTATTTAGTTTTGTAAACTATTTTTTACTTTTTAAAAATAAGAAAACTTGTGTGATAACTTAGTTTTACAAAATATATTCTTTTTAATTATTTTCTATTTATGAATTTTGAAATTAAAAAATTAAAATAGATTTTAGAAGGATTTACTTTTTTGTTTTAAAAATTGGATTAAAAAAATCAAAGAAAATTGATACGTTTTTTCATTAATAGCTATTTTATAATATTATACAACTTTAAAATGTAAAAATAAAGTGTCGAAGAATCATTTTGCTTTGTAAAAGTATGTGTGGAAGTCAAAATAAATATGCAAATAATATTTCCAATATATAATTTTCATAATTTATTATCCTTATATTTATTCATTTAGATAAAGAAAAAAATAATCCTTATACTTATATTATCTTTTTTTATAAGTTGTATTTATTTTATGTGTTATTCAATATGAACATTTAAAACAATGTTTATAAATTTTATTTGCATTAAAAAATTAATACAATATCTAACCTCGTATAATACACAACAAATTAATTAATTTTATTAATAAAATTAAAAAATAATAATAGTTAAAAAATTCAACATGTAAATTCATACACGTCATAATTAATATTCAACTTGAGGGATATATATATAAATTTGTAATATATAATAACAATAAAACTTTATCCCACTAGGTGGAGTCGGATACATGGATCAACTCTAGCCATAATTAATATTCTATCAATGATCATGTTTCTATTTAAATCATTAATGTTAAGCTATTTCTGAATAACTTCTCTTATAGTTTTTTAAGTCTTCCTCTTACTCAAATTATTTGTCTTCTTTCCATCTGGTCTACTCTGCTCACTACATAATCTACAAGTTTTTCCTATACATGCCCAAACCACCTAAGTCTATTTTTCACCATCTTCAATACTATAAGCGTTACCCCGACACTCTCTCTATATCTTTGTTTTAAATTTTATCCTATTGAATCTTACCACATATTCGCCACAACATCCTCATCTTTTCTACACTTACTTTAGTCTCGTAATGATTCTTAACCCCCTAAAATTTGGCCTCGTACAAAATCGCAAGTCGTACCGCAGTCCGATAAACTTTCCCTTCAACTTGAGTGATACCTTTGCATCACATAAAACACTTGATGCCTTTCTCCATTTCAACCACTCATCTTGAATTTGGTGGTTTACATCTCCTACTATTTATCAATCATTTTGTATTACGAACCCAAGATATTTAAAACATGTGACTTGAGGGATAATATGGTCTTCAACTTTTACGTCTAGATTAAAAACATTTCTTTTTTTGTTGAACTTACATTTCATATGCTCCCTCTTACTTCTGCTTAGGCAAAAATCATGTGTTTCTAAAGCTCATCTCCAAGTTTTCAACCTCGCATTTAAATCTCTCATCGACTCTCCAAGAAAAACTATATCATCTGCAAAAAGCATTTATCTCGATGCTAGGTCTTGGATTTGTTTTGTGAGTACATCCAAAATTAAGGTAAAAATGTAAGGGCTTATGATTAAACCTTGATGCAAACCAGTTGTAATGGAAAATCCATATGTTTTTCCATCCTATGTCTGAACATTAGTCGGTACCCCTTGATACATATCTTGGAAGCTCAAATATATGCAATTCTAACCACTTTCTTCTATAGGGATTCCACGAAATCTCTCTAGGCACTCACTCTATCATACGCCTTTTCCAAGTCAATAAAAATTAAGTGTAGGTCTTGATGATTCTAAGTTACTTGAGTCTATTTTCTTAATCTCTGTTCAATCACTATTTCCTATAATTTTATGGTATGAATCATAAGTATAATCCCGCTATAATTTGCATAATTTTGTATACCCTCTCTCTTATAGATTGGAACTAAATTGTTTCTTCTCCATTCATCCGACATACATTTTGACCTCGTAATTTCATTAAAGAGTTTGGTGAGTCACTCAATACTCTATCTCCAAAAATTTTCCACACTTCAATAAGTATGTTGCTTGGTCCAACCGCCTTATTGTTACTCTTTCTTTTCAACACTTCTTTTACCTCTTATTTCTTAATCCGACGATAATAATTATAGTTTTGATCCTCTTTTCTAATGTCGAGTCTGCTAGAGTCCTGTAAGATATCAAAACCTTCATTAAATAAATTGTAGAAATACGTCTTCCACCTATCCTTTATATTTTTTTCCTAGACCAAGACTTTGTTTATTCCATCTTTAACACACTTCACTTGATCTAAATCTCTAGTCTTTCTTTCTCTTCCCTTAGCAAACATATATATATAGATTTTTTTTCCATCCTTGGTTCCTAGAGATTGGTATAATCCGTTAAAAGTTTGGATTCTTGCTTCACTCATAGCCTTCTTGGTCTCATTCTTAACTTTCTTGTATTTTTTTAAGTTTAAGCATTCTTACACCTAGACCACTCTTTAAAACAATTAATTTTTACCTTAACTTTACTCTGGACACTTTCATTCCACCACCATGATTCTTTGCCCCTAGGTCCAAAACTTCTTGATTCGCCTAATGTCTCTTTATCCATTTTTCTAATATCTTGGGTCATCTTATTGCACATATCATTTGCACTTTATTCCAAATCCTACCTCAAAGATCTTGTATTGAAAAATTCCTTGTTTTTCATCCTACAAATGTCACCACTTGATTCGTGACACTACCATATGACTTCTTCTCTTTACTTTCCCCTTAAATTTTACATCCTAACAAAAACTTTATGTTGGATAGTCAAGCTCTCTCTCAGAATAACTTTACAGTCCAAGCAAATCTTCCTATATGACTTTCTAATAAGAAAGAAATCTATTTGAGAACATGTCATCCCACATTTATATGTGATAAGAAAGAGATCTATGTGAAAACATGTCACCCCACTTTTATATGTGATAAGATATTCATTTGTTTTTCTAAACATATTTGCTATAGTAAGATCCAAAGTCAACGAAAACTCCAAGAAGGATTTACCCTCCGCATTCACCTCCCTTAGGTCTTCTTAAAAAAAATTACCTTAAGGTGTTCTGCTAATCTAACATGGGGTGCGTAAACACTAATAACATTAAAGATGTCTTGTTCCACTACAAATTTCAAGGCTACGATTCAATCTCCTACTCTTTTGACATCCATAATATGCTTCTTCCACTCTTCATCCATAATGAACTCCACCCCATTTCTCGATCTAACTTTTACAATGTATCAAAGTTTAAAACCTGTGTTATCTAATTCTCTTGCATTTTTACCATTCCATTTAGTTTCTTGACGGGCCATAAAATTGACCTTCCTCCTAACCATGGTGTCCAATATTTCCATAGATTTTTCAATAAATATGTCTATATTCCATTATCCAAAATAAATTATCCTCTAATGAACTAACTTCTTTACCACATCCGTTTAAGAAAATATGGAAATTCTTACTTATTTTTCACTACATTCGAGCGGAGATATAGCAGCCCCTGCTCTTTTAAATTTGTAATATATATTTTAAAATAAATCTACCAAACAAATATTCATTTTTTTCATCTATTAAACAATTTTTAAAAATAAAATTCCCAAACTTGTTTTATTTTATTTTTTTCTTCAAAAGATTTTTTTAAATTAGTTTATAAAATAATTTTTTAAAACCATGAATCAAAATTCATTCAAACAAAATATTATACGAGTTTAATATTTGTGTACTGTGCGCAACTTGAGCCTCCAATTGATAGGAATTATTTCTCAGTGTTAGATGGAACAACCAGACAGCCTAATACATGGCAAAAAAAATTCTTAAATTTGGAGTGAATTTAAAATGTGTGCATGGTCCTTCCTCTTGGATTAGACTAGACTTAGAATTCAGGGTGGGAAATAGAACATTTGAATCAAAAAATGACAAGCAAAACATGTCTACCCAATAAGTGCTTTTCTTTTCTCACAAGTCATATCTCACATTCCATCTACCTTTGTAATCTGCATTAAATGTCCAATTATTCTCCCTGATCTGCAGATAAGGAACCTGAAACAAGAGATTTAAAAAAATCAGGTTCTAAACAGATTGTTAGATTCTGAACGAAATTGTTAAATATTTAATCAAATGATCTGCTGTAACTACACAGATTCTGGTAGCTTCACAGATCCAAAACATTGCCAACAACTGAAATTCAAAAGCATATTTAGAGTACATTAACTGCCTCTTCTAGACTGAAAAAAAATTAAATCGCAGTAAAATAGAAGGCTTGACGTAAATTCATTTTAACTTAACTGCAGTAAGCTATCGGTCACAATCCAATCTAGATCAACCAGCAATTACCAATTTCACTCCTAAAATACTTGCCTCCATTAATTTCAATAGTTGTCTTTAAATGTAGATATTGAACACAATATAGCAGTAGCATAGGTTGAATCTAACAACATTTATTTTTACCGATAGAATGCATTTAACAATGTTTTAACTTGACCAAAATCTCTAGCAAGAGTTAAGGTCTAATACACGTAGCCAAAACAGCTCAAAACCAACCATAACGGGATGGAGATATAACAACAAAATAGGGGCAAGAGAGGATTTCCCCGGTCGAAAAATGACTGGAAGTCATAGTTATCAACAAGAGGCAAAAATACACTACTATTATCATTTTACTTTGGTTTTATTTTCCTTTATGTTCAATCCCTCCGATTTATGTGTGTACTATTGACAAGAATGAGTGGTAAAAACCTGAGAGTCATGCATGACACAATCATATTATGATATGGAACGCACTTGAGTAAAAACCAAAAATGAGCATCTCTGGTAGCAGTTTTAAAGAAAAGAATCAGTTCTTACAAGTTCCACAACTAGAAGTGGATAATGTGAATATCAAAATGTTTGAGAGAACTTATGAAAACAACTTATGACATGTCTATAAGTTGTCCATGATAGCTTATGATAGCCTATGAAAACAGCTAATAACTTATATAAAAACAATCTGACTTTATTTTACCCTTAATCATAACAATAACTTGTACACAAACATTTATGCTAGAAATGCTTAACTTAGTCGCTTATCCAAACAGACCTAAGTTGATTCAATCATGGAAATGTCATACCAATATCAATATAATCTATGACTACATGTATAAAGTAAAGTCATGTTACATCATAGAAGTTAGCTCAAGCATAAAAAGCTTCTAAATTTTCAGGCATTCATTCATGGTGCATATGAAAAACAGCAATAAGTACTAATAATCTGAAATTGCAACTGAGATAGATGAAATAAGTTAAACCTGTTCAAAAGCTTCATAACCAATTCTGAGTCTAACATCTTGTTCCTTCTGAAAATTGAATACGCTCCACGAAAACTCAGCCCCTCCTCTAGATTTCCACTACAAAAAAACAAAATAATCCGCCATTCCAAACCTCAGTAAACATAACAACACAATACTAACACCGACACAAACACGACACTCGTGACCGCGATGCTAACAACGATTTGAGAAAATAACATAAATATATTCAACATGTGTTATATCGAACATCCACACGTGTCAGACACCATACACATAGCAAATTACATCCAATCGTGTCAGATACCAGACACATAGCAAATTACTAAATTGTATACCTCCTTAAAATCTTGATCAACATCACATCCTCCCTTAATTTTGAAGTTAACAAGACCATCATTCGTCACCGGAAACGTCTTCTTAGCACAAACAGTATATCGTAACTTATCATTCTTAGCATACCTCACTCCTACAGAATCTTGTTTATCATACCTCACTCCAACGCCAAGCGTCGCTGAAAACTACACCAAATTTCGTAACAATCAATGAAGCACTTTTTATATGTTAAATTAATACGAAAAGCGATTAAATTATACATACATTTGGATAAAAATGTCTAATGAGTGCCCTCCCGGAACTCGGTTGTCCAGATTTTGTGTCAAGCTCTCCGCGAACCTTGTTTGGAAGAGAAAAGTTGAATGAATTAATCGATTATTGATGAAATAATCGATTATTAGAGTTTAGGTTTGAAAGAGAGAAGATTGAAATACCTGAAAGAAGGTGTTGGTGTCGATACGAAGCTTTTCCTTGGCGTGGATTTTTAGAGCTTTGGAATCTCCTCCATATCGCAGCGAAGTCTCCATTTTTTTTATCCAGATAAAAATTAAAATGATTATTGATTATCTTTTATCAAGTTTTAGTTATTTTTATTATTACACGAAACCCTAAAAGAACGTTAGTGTTGGAATTGATTTGGGCTTGTTGAAGGTCCACTTCATTTAACTTACATCATTTTTTACTTTTGTACCCATTTTGGACTATATACCCCTTTACCCCTCCTCCTCCAAAAATTATTAATATATGTTTTAGGCCGGCCAAAAGCGGAAATGGCAAAGACGCAATTCTCCGTAAATTTATTCCACTTGATCTAGTTTATAAAAGTTAATTCACACTAAAAGTGGAAGTAACGTACAGTTTTTAATCTCCACTTTTCATTATATTTATCTTGAATCTTAAACTGACTTGAGCGTTAGAGTGTTAACCTTACAAGTCCACCATGCGCCACTACATTAGAGATCAATATATCGGTTCAAGATCAAAATTTCATCAACTACATCTAATTTTGGTTCCTGAACGAAACTGTGGAGCCGTCTATGAAAATCGACGTCTGATTCCCGCATTTTTCACGATTTTTGTGTTCGTTCTTTAATTTGTCAGTTCGTAACCTTTGTGTGTTTCCGAATAAAGAGTAATCATAATCTAACGCGGATATATTTCATATTTTATATAGTCGATCGTCGTTCCAACCTTGATTCATCAAATTCCAAATTTCTAATTCCTACCTAAACATCGCTTAATGAAATATGGACTGGTGTTATATCAAAATTCAGATATATAAAATAATTACCAAAGAACGTATGGAATAACCTTCATGGTCATGCTGGAACTCCTGATCAACATCCTAATTTTGTGTTACCTCAGGTATCTGTCATTAGCGCGATACTTATCATAATTTCTTCGAATATACGACAAGTCCATAGTTATTGCTCGCACAAATCTATTACCAGAGCACCTTCTTCAGGAAATAAAGGACCTCCTAATGGCGAATGGAGACTACCTTAGAACATATCTGATAGATTGGGAGAAATAAAGTTATTTAGTCGCAGCAAAAGGAAATGAACTTCCAGTGCAAAGTTGTCTACGGCTGAAGTAGTAAGCATCTTGGATAACTCTACGCACTGCTACCATGCAAAGTGTTGAACTTTCTAACTATGATGTATCTTCTCCTTAACACTTATATCTGAAGTGTAGTTGCTTTCAGCAATTGTCTCATATTAAAATTCCTCTTTCATATGGTTGTTGATCATTGTGTCAGGAATTAAATGTATCTGGGCACAAGCACATTCGAAGTAAGAGAATGTCGAGCCAACTATATTTCAAGTTGTTCGGAGAGTGTAGCAAGTTTCATCGATGCAAGAGTCCAAACAAGATTACTCAAAGGCAATGTCCTTTGAACATTAATTTCCGGTCTAGCATAGTCAAACATCTAGATATATAAAGACGGGCCTATAGAACGACGAAATGTCATTAAACACATATAGGGAAATCGCACCCCGAAATGAGGTGGAAAAGAAGCAAAGTCTCATAAAAGATGACTCTGGTCGACATTTATATTTAATTCCTCACTCATCCTCGTCGATTTGTAAAGATATTATCATATGAAATGAGTGGATATATCACCACCCCGTATGTTAGAAGGTATCATATCAGAGTATTCGAAAAGACAACTTTGGGGCCTTAGAGTATTTGTGCTCGTCATTAAGTTGCGTCTTAACACAGCCACCCGCTTCGTGGTGCTCGTCGGTTATCGAGACCCGAAGGAATTTTAAGTGAAACTTCGCCTCGTTGGGTAAACAAAGATGAGGTCAGCTACACCAATGTCTCAACCATATTCCCGCCTCTATGTTTATTATTTAGATACTTTATAACGTTGTCACGCCATTTCTGAAATTTTGGCATACAGATCACAAATATCTCAAGAGATGTCGAGACATCGATCTCTGCATAACCTTGAACAAGGACAAAACAACCAGACCAAAACAATCTGATACTCCAAGTCATAACAGTGTAATAAAAAATGTTTCAACATCTGTTAAGACATGTATTTTACAGCAAGAGGCAAAACTGAAATATTTATAACAAATGATAAAGAACACCAAGATATGATGACCCAGTTCGGTGAACAACAACACCTACATCTGGGGGCTACCAAGCTAAGAATGAATATATTATTAGTAGTATTAATTTAGAGCTAAACTCTCCTGTTTACAACTCCTCACTTAATCCCTACCCAGTACAACTTCTATTTAAAAATCACCATCTAGATAAGATAAACTCATCTCAATTCCTAAATCAACTCAGTGATATCTAACAGTCACAACCTCTGGTAACTGTATCAAACTGTTCAATTGAAAGACACCCATTTCAAAATAATATTCAGTCAAGACTCTTGACTAACAATAATGCATGGATTTGGTTAAAAGCTTCATCTAAGAACAATATACAATTTATTACCTTCTGAATATAAATAACTATGTCTACCACAATGTATCAACTGATACAAAGGGTGACTTACAAGACAAAAAAGTATACGACTCTCAAAACCCTAAACCCTTATAAATACTTTACAAGAATTCTTTACAAAGTCCACTCTCTTTTCATGCCCTAGGTCTTGGTCTTCCTTTTATAGCCTTCAGCAATCCATGGGCTTCGAAGTCTTTGTCCAATCTTTTCTTGATCCATTTCTGATTGCACCTTAAATCTTGGAACAGATATGCAATAAAACTGCTGTACCAGACCAAGATGTCGGTCCACAATGCTAGGAAATCTTGTCTGACATGTTGTTCTTTACATATTTCTTCTTGTTGAAACATCTTGTGCAACATCATGTTTTACCAAAATGTGCTCTAATCTTTAGAGCCTTCAATTTTTATAATTCCTATCATAATTGTTAGATGTTGCAATCACAAAGAATATTGTGTGTTATATACAAGATGGCGTGAGTCTGTATTTTCAGGCGGTCTTCACGACCAAGGAATACTTGAACGCCTAAGGAGCACCATGCCCAATGAAGTCGCCATATGACACAAAGATGTATACACATCTCGCCAGATTTATACCCCGCCGTGGAGAAACAAATGTACGTTGATTAAGTGAATGCTAAATAAAACAAATAATTATGTTATTGCAAGTGACTATTTCAGTAATTATCCACATCAACATATTAATGGATAAAAAACAACGCCTTGTAATCTTTCTTCTTCTCCTTCTTATGCTTAGGCCGTTCTGCATCTGTTGCACGTTCTACAACCTGTTCTTTATCATTACAAGAACATCTTGATAGCCAAACAAAACTTTCATTTGCTTGCACCACTTGTCGTAATTCTTCGCATCGGGAATTAGGAGATTTGCAGGGATTCGTTCATTGGAAACAAAGGTCATTTTTGCACACTAGATGTTTGGTGGATCGAATCAGGATCTTGATGTCAAATGTTAAAACTTAAAACCACAAGAATGGTAAAATAATTGAGTGTGGAGAGGGAGAGAGTGAGAGAGAATGGGAGAATAATTGAGGGTGAAAATATGAGCATTATTTCATTAATAATTTACCAAAGGATATATATATACAACTACATAAGATGGGGTACAATTATCAAACATAAAACCGAAAAACTTTCGGATGTAACCGATTGATAATATTCTTTCTTTCTTTCTTAAGATGGGGTACAATTATTTCATTAGCAGCACACTTGAGAAATATGTTAATAGAAGTGACTATTTCCATTTTGTTATTCTATCCGCTAAAGCAAAGCTAAAACCTTTGACCACATGGCCAAGAGATCAAAGCGTGACACTATGAAAGGGAAAAATTCAACATAGGAGGCTCCTATATTTTTAGATATACATTGTGTGTGAAAATTCTCTGTCATTTGTCTAAGACAGCCAAAGTTGTTAAAAAAATTTGCAAGACATGCATGAGCGACTCAGACTGAGTTGTCAGAGTTAACATTAGTAAAACAAACTTCCATGAACGTTGTGATTAATGTATAAATGAGTTTTCATGCTTACAGATGAATTTTAAATGATTGTGCAAAGTTTTAATAACTTTAAAAAGATTTGAAAATTGTTAATATTTGTAATTTGAGTTTTAAAGGATTATATTATAAGAATTTATATAATTGTAAGAAATTTAAGTAAATATCAACAATATATTAATTTAACAAAGCATATAAAAAACTATTGAGTATTAGTTACAAAGTATAGAGGAGAAGTTACAAAGTATCAACCAAAAGTTACAAACTCTGAGAGCAAAGTAACTTCTCTAATCCTCTTATCTTAATGCTAAACCTCCCTTTTCAAGCTGGAAATCTATCTCTAAATGTTTTTCTTCTTTCTTAGAACATAAGGCTTACTTTTATGTGGAGTGGTTATTATGAAAATTGGAAAGGAATGTTTGATCTGGAAATCTTGCAGCAAATAGATTGTGTTGATTACAATATTATTATTGATTATATAATGTATTGAGTTAGTGACTTCTATTATCAACTCTAACTACCTCACAACTAACTAAGAATGTCTGTTATAACTAAAGTTACAAATTATTTAGTATAAGTTACAAAGTATTGAGTAGAAGTTACAAACGATTAAGTATAAGTTTCAAAGTATTACGTATAAGTTAAAAAGTATTGAGTATACTAAAAGTTATAAACTTGGAGAGCACAAGTTACTTTTTTAATCCTTTTATGTGTTAGCACGTGAGGTACATTTAGTGATAAGAGAAAGAGATGAAGAGAATAAAGAAATAAGGATTGTGTTATTGAATTGTGATTGTACAAAATGAATTATAAAATATGTTTATTTATAGACAACTAACTTATATACTAAGTAATAAACTCTAAACTCTAATTAACTTGAATTTTGGCTACACAATATGGATTATATCACAACATACTCCACTATAATTCAAGTTGTCAATCATAGTTGATTTGAACTATTTCTAATTTCTTTCTCAAATTTTGGAATTTGTCTATCTTCATTCATTTGATGAAAATGTCGGCTAACTAAGCTTCACTTGAGCAATGTCTTACTTTAAATTCACCTCGATTTACCTTCTCCCTTAAGAAATGAAACCTACCATCAATGTGCTTACTTCTTCCATTTAGAACTGAATTATTTGCAAGATTAATTAACAACTCACGATCCCGAAAACACGATCATAGATGTGTGATTCTTGAAAACACGGTGAAGAATCTAACCGGAGCTCTAATACCAATTTATTAGTACGCGAGACAGTTTGAGAGAGAGAGAGAGAGAGAGAGAGAGAGAGAGAGAGAGAGAGAGAGAGAGAGAGAGAGAGAGAGAGAGAGAGAGAGAGAGAGAGAGAGAGAGAGAGAGAGAGAGAGAGAGAGAGAGAGAGAGAGAGAGATTTTATTATTGAACTGTGATTGTATAAACTGAATTACAAACTATGTCTATTTATATACAACTAACTTGTATACTAAGTAACAAACTTTAAACCCTAATTGAGTTTGGGCTACACAACTTAGATTATATCACAATATTATCTTCATCTTCATGCTTAACATCCCCTATCAAGCTGGAATAGAGATCAATCATTTCAACCTTGTTTTGTATATTGTTGTAAGATTCTGAATGAAGAGATTTTGTCATAATATCAGTCACTTGGTCCTTAGATGAAATTGGAAGCAAATACATAATGCATGCTTGAACTTTATCCCTAACAACATCGCAATCAATATTTATATGTTTCTTTTTTTCATGGATCACAAAGATGGCTGCTATATAGAGTGTTGACTATAACAATTAGAGTGGAATGTTTTATTTAAAAATCTTCCACTAAATAGGCTGTGTTGATTACAATGTTATTACATTGACTATATATAATGTATTATTGAGTTATTTATTTCTACTAACCAACTTTAACTACCTCATAACTAACTAAGAAAGTTAGTTATAGCTAATTAACTATCTGAAAGTTATAGAGTATTTAGTATAAGTTACAAAGTAATGAATAAAAGTTACTAAGTATTAATTAAAAGTTACAAATTTGGAGAGCAAGTAATTTCTCAATCCTCTCACCTTCATGCTTAAAAAACTAAGTAATTTTTATCTAATTTTTCAAGGTAATTAAAATTGGATCAGACCTTAAACTGTGTCAATACTAGTTTAAGGTTTAAAGATTTGACTGTGGTCAATCGGTGTTTAATCAGAGATAAATAAAAAAAAAATTTTAATTATATATTATAATATATAAAATAAAAATAAAAAAAAAATGTTATATTTTTACTAAAAAATAACATAATTATTAACTACAAAAATTTATTATATTATTTAAAAATATAATTATATTACTATTAAGATAATTATTATTAATTTATTATATATTATGTTATTGACTTATGGTAGGTTTTTAAAATTAAATAAATAAAAAGTTATGAATTAAATTGAGACCTAACGTTAATACAAAAAACCTAGCTAAATCAAATTGAGGCCTAATATCTCACACCCTCTTAACTCACCCTCTACATCTGCTCTCTTTGTTACCCCTCTATCAACTCACCTTTTACGTCCACTCTCTCCGTTACACACTGTCTCAACTCATCATTTGCCCTCACTTTCTCTGTTACCCCTCTCTCAACTCACCCTTTGTGCCTACTCTCAACCTTTCTTATCAAATAATGTATATGTATTATGGTCTTTTTAGCCCTTACTTGTCTGTTGGCCGCAGCGATGGTGGTGCCATTGTTTGTCATGTTCATAACATTCCTAGTCGAGGTTTAGGAATAGGTCATGGCTTTGGTCCAACTCATTTTGCACCCATGGCCCCTCTTTCAATCTTGTATGAACCCAATAACATTCCAACATTTTGGTTGGGCATTATGTTCTGAGAGGTTGAAAATACCCTACAATATTGTCAGTTAGGTTTTGAGGCAAATTTGGTGTCTTCATTTTGAAAAATAACCCCTCAGGATAACTCATATCTTTGACAAAACTCGTTAGTCGCTTATTCAGATATACATCTTCCTGAGAAAGGTCGTCTCCTCTGTAGATGTGTAACTTATTTCGCATTAGAAAATGGTCCTCGTACCAGTATTTGGGAAACAAGGTAGAGCACCTGCCTTTCACTCCATCCCCGACGACACATATTATTGCATGAGTCTGCGGGAGGATGGGGTAACCAGGAATAATCGATCTTGAAAAGGTTTCAAATTCTCTTAAAAAAGCCTGAAGTCACGGACGATAGGCACCTGATGAATCAAATCACAACCATGTGCTTGGGTCACGAGAATACGTTAATCTTTAAAAAGGTGAAAGAAATGGTCAAAAGTTTTTCATTTAAGTATTTACATCAATATTAGAAGACTTTTACATACGCCTAACTTGTAAGGTGAAGCTGTGATTGAGAAACATCAGATGTATAAAGACTTCCGTTTCAAAGCCCTTGAAGAGCAAATAGAAACCCAAAATCGAAAAGAAAAAAAACACTCATAGATAGGAGTGGCACAAACGTCATACTCGTTACAAATACTTTCATTTTCACTAGGGGATAAGACTTCCCTCTCAATTTGAAAATGAACCAACATTTAGAAAGACTCTATCAAGACTACTCTCTCAAACAAAAATAAAAACAATTTGAAGAATAGATAGGATCCACCCCCTGTGTGACAGGATTTTTTTAAAAATTTTTATTGAAAAATTTAAAAATAAAATACACTCGAAATTTTTTTTTAAAATATTTAAATTAATTTAATGAATAGATAGATATCCATCCATCATACAATATTAATAATTTAATGACTAGAAAGATAACCATCCATCATTATTAAAAATTTTAATGAATGAATTAGATTGAAAAAATATTAATAAAAAAAATTAGTTGATTGTTAATAAATTAATAGATTGTTTTCATCAATTCATTAACAATTCATATTTCATATGAATTCAATTCGTCCATTTTGCCACGCCTAATTTAAATAGTAAGAGATCATTCTTTTTTTTTTATAGTTTTCTTCAACAAATTGTAGACAAACGTTTGCGCTAAACCGTACCGGGTTTGATGATTTCACCTTGTATGATAGCATGAACGATCCAACAAGACACTGAAAGTTGTCGTCCAAGCCAACAATTAAAACACTAATGCGGAGTTTTTAAGAAACGAGGGGGTGAAAAGTTGTGGTATAACAAAAAACAAACTAGGGACAAATAAGATTATATCCTTATTCTAGGAGGATATATATGCTTAATTTATCACAACATAGTACACAATAGACAACAACATAGTTCTCACCCACGCAAAACAAATGTCGCTAGCCTCTTAGAAACCATCTAACTGCTAAAAAATTCTGACCTAAATCAAGTATAGCTAGGTCAAAATGGGAGCCCAATACCATCTCAAACAGCATTAGTCATCTATCATATCTCATCAATCAGGTCCAGAAGATCGTCAATTTCTTGCCTCAGAGCTGTAATTTTCTGCTGATGTGAAGCAATACGATTCTCAATTTCCCTTCCTCCTAGCTTCTTCTCGTAACAGTCAACAACAGTAGAGTGTTTTGCCATAAGCTTCTCCTGCAAATCTCTTTCCTTGGCAATAACTTCCTCGACCTGAAAAATCAAAAGATAAATTAAGGAACTATAAATCAAGAGGGAAATTTTACATGGAAGAAAGTATTTCTATCTTTGTTTTATTTTAAAGCATTTCCAACATGACCTTGGATAATATTGGTGTGGCTTGTGGAGAAGACTGCAAGAATGCTACTGGTGATTTTAACTCTTTTGTGATCTCTTTCAACGAACTATCAACTGATTTTCGGGTTGCTTTACATGCTTGAATATCTCCTGACCTGGAAAGATCACGCAACGACGCTTCGAGCTTGTCATGTGTTGTTAAGCAAAGGCTAATGATATTATGGATCTGATGAACAGTTGCTTGAACCTGAATGATGAAATAAAAGTTTACTGTGCAAGTACCATAATCAACTGCAAATACTAGATTTTGTATATGTCAAGATGATTTACCTCTTCCCATTGGAGCTTTGCCAAATAAGATGCAGAAGTCTTGGAGATTGATAAGTCTGCATGCATGTAGACAATGGAGGCAACAAATAGAAAGAAAAACCCAGAAATCAACATCAATGGCTCCCTGAGCATAGAAAGTCTGTTGAACTTATAATAGACCTGCAATACAGGCATTAGTAATCAGTAAGCACTACACCCAACAGATATTATATCATACGTTAAAAAGAAACCACCCGGTACAGTAAGTAATCAAATCACAACTTCACTTTTATCTTGTTCTCGTGTCTAACAAAATCCCCAACCTTCATATTTGGATGGACCGACAGGGTATACTTGAAACAATGAAAATAAGCCTTTTATATGTGAAAATCGACAATTAGGTCATTATATATAGTTTAACTTATCCTAACAAAATAGACTTGAGTTGGGGGTGGTTGCATCCTCTTCATAAACTATTTGCAAGTCTTACCTTTTTTCAATGTAGTATTTGAATTTTTCTCAATGCACCCATCATGCCTAGTACTATTGGCCTTGGTGCATGGATCGTTTGGTGGGCGATCTGAATGGATAGGCTTTGATACTATATTATGTTTTTTATATTGGACATAAATCATCCTACAAAACTAACTTGTAAGTTGAGGGAAGCCTTTATGAACTATATTTAAGTTTTATCTCTTTTCATTGTGAGACTTGGGTTTTTCCCAATAAAAAAAGAACTTCAAATAAAATATATTTGCAGTGAATGACCAATTCAATAATGAGACATGTACATGAAATTCCGGATATAATTTTCTATCCTTACAAATTCAGGATAATATCATTTGTTAAAATAAAATGCTTGTGGATCATATTAAGTTAAAAATGCATTTTATATTGTTAGTGGCTGGCTAGTTCAAGTTTGGAACTTTTAGCTTCCAAAAAAGATGCAACAGTATTACCTGAAAATGCACATTATGCTCAGGCACAGCATTGTTTTTCTCCAGCACAACAACAGGTCTACCAGCAATATCCAAGTGAGAAAACTTTGTCTGCAACAATAATAACGATGAACTATAAAATCCAAAATAGGGAAGGGCATAGATATCTATCAGCAATAGTTTGGAAGAAGATATCAAAATAGTAATACCTCATGTCTTTGTTTCACAGAAAATGGAACAGATGCTGAAGTATCTTTTGAACCCTCTGGCAAAACAACCTGAAAGTTGCAAGCAGCGGGCAGATGTGATAGTAAGTCATTCGTACCTACACCATATATTGCAATGACAACAAACAAAGACAGAGCAGGAAAATTTGCAAAAAATGAACCCTATGTAAAACAATTTGGAATTTAGGAATGATTAACAACTCTTATGATTGTCAACAACTAGTTACTCCTTAAACGCGTACAAAATAAATAGAGTTCACATTTATGTTCTCAAAAACTTAATCACAGAAAACTGAAAAGCTAAAATTTAGATAAATAAATTCACTTTCCCATGCTATACTTCTAATTACTCTGAAAATATAAAGGTAAATTGTGATGTTGCATAACTCACAAAAAATCTCCAAAGATTGGATTCCAGTTTGCAACAAACAACAAAAAAAAAGAAAGAAAAGAAATTTATGACAAGATAAAATGATCACTCACCTTCACAACAAGAGTGTCAATTACCAACTCGATAAAGGGGGAACCAAACGAAATATTAAGGAAGCGCTTTCCATCAATGCCAAACAAAAAGTCCTGAAGTGGCAACCCATATCCAATAGTAAAAGCAGTTTTCCAGCCACCAAAAATTGGATACCTGGGTTCGATCTCCAGTTCTGTCTGTAATTTTCAAAAAATTATTATTTTAACAAATGCTAGCAACAGTATTTAAGATTAAACACATTCATCAAGCCTGATAATGCCCACCTTTTTTGAGTCACCCCACAATCTAGAAGTGGAAATGTTGCCGATTTCATCCCTGTAGTACACAGAATGAGCTCTTGGTGGCAGCTTAGCAACAAGACGCCGAAAGGCTGATGCACCCCTTACATACGGTCTGGTCTGATAGTCAAACCTGCAGCAGAAAATGTGTTAATATTTTGATGTCAATCTAACATCACAAATAACTCAGAATTACAGAAACAGGGTGACCTAGAGAATTCTCCTTTGCTCTGAGCACCGCCATGAACAAGATTATAATGCTCAGTGATCTGCACATTTCCCCAATGGGAAATCTCAATCTCCCGTACCAACTCTTTAGCAACAGCGAACGGATGATTATTCTCAAAGTGGATAACAATTGGTAAGTATGAATATGGAGGAATATCCTCGTAAGGACCATATCTCAATTCAGAACCCTGAAGTTTTGTACTTTCCAATTTTGTGTAGGACTCTACCCTTGCCTCGGGTAATCTAACAGTGAGTGATTGAGCCTTCACGAGATAAGGAGAAAGATACTGCGCAGTCTCTTGAAACAGCAGAAGCTGGATATCAGCCTGAGTAATTTTCTCCGGAAATGGTTGCAAAATGTGAGTGAAAACCGCCAAGACATCCAATGTCAAACTCTCTCCCTTCGCAAGGCCTTTAGGTAAAGTTACTGAATAAATTTTCAAGGAAGCCGGAGCATCTTTCGGCTGGACAATTTCATAAGGTAAACCAGCAACAGAAGATGATTTCGTCTTTCCCTTTCCTTCATTAACTATTGCTTTCAAATATGCCAAGTAATTTGCAAGGCTATCAGGAAAAGACAACCAGACTTCCGATACAACATCAGATCCTGCATTCTCTACCTAATATCAAAGGAAATAAGATACTTCATGTTCAGAGCAATTATAAATCACGAAATACTATAAAAAATGAACGATAATTTGAACACCTTTAGAGAAGTAATGGTGCGAACAATTTGCGATGATAGATCAATCTGCAAACAATAAGAAAACAATGTTGAGAAGAAGCAGCATACACCGGCAGCGATATATAGTAGATCGGAGAAATTGAAATGGAAGGGGATCGAAACGAAACCCTAATCGGTGAAATGAAAGGGAAGAGAGGACTTACACGACGGTCAACCTTGGTGAGGATTAGATCGGAGGTGGATAGGACGTCGGAGGATAGGGATAGAATGGTAAATGTGAGGAGAAACGGAAACAGATTCAACCTCATTGTCGTCGTTTTCTTCTTCTGGTGATGGATCAACTCATTCAGTGACTACCAAATCGAAACGCTCTCAGCTATTGCAAAATAGTTACTGCTACTGTGGTGTTCTTGTTCGAATGTTACCTTTCATTTACCATTTTGCACCATTGTAATAAATTTATTACTTTTTAATACATTAAATTCAACGAAATTTTGATTCTTATTTTCAATTTTTTTTTTCTTTTACTCTTGATCTTCATTTTAAAAATCGGTGTTTTAGTCCTTGTTTTAATTTATTTTTTTCATTGTTTTAACTTTTGATCTTCATTTTAAAAGTTGGAATTTGAGCCCTTAGTTTTAATTTTTTAAGGATTTTATACTCATTTATTTTAATTTTTAATGAGGTGACATTCTAATTGATAATAGGTCAACGTTTAAGTGATAAAAATCAATTCTAAATCATTATTTATTAGTAATATTTATAATTATACAATTTATTTATAATTATTTTTATTAAAACATATTAATTGAATTAAAATTTATTTGGTAAAATAAGTAAATTAAAATCAAATTAAACCCAAAAAATATGTTCAACATTATCTTCCGCTGAGCTAACCAGGGCTCTAATACCACTCTTCGGGGGTCTGAGAAGTGACGGAAGTGTCAATGGGCTAAACGTTCATGGTTTCAAGAGACCTTGATGCCACATATCCACCCAAAACCCTAAAAACAATAGGGGTATGAGTCACATCTCTTATAAACTCAACATTTCCTCCATTCTTAGCCGATGTGGGACTTTAGCATTTACACACTTAAAACCAAACATTTTTGCTTGTTTCGCTTATGGTCATTGCCTTCGGTTTTGCAACTTTTGTCAATATTGTGGTCCTATTTAATTTTGTGGTTATTTAATTACAGATTTGTGGTCCTTATCAAATATTATGTTTTATTATGGGACATATATTGAATTCATTTTGGTCATTTTGGTTTGTGTATACCAACATAGAAATAAGTAATTAGGCTTAGAACTCACCATAGGCTTGGTCCATAATTATATGAAATGGTACGTTGATGAAATAGTTTTTAAAATGGATTGAAATTGAGATGTGAAGTTAATGTCATATATGCAAATTAAAATAATTATAATAAAAAAAAATAAGGGGCATGGTAATATAAGGTGTTTATGGTACCATAATCTTAAATTTTCATTTGATCATTGACTTAAGTCATTGAATAATGACCATGATGTACTAAAATTTGTTGAAGATGTTAAGGGATTTGGGGTGATTGATGTCTATGTGGAACACAATGAGTCTGTAGTAGGAGATTGTGAGGTTGAAAAAGTGTTTGAATAAGGTGAAGTATAAATTGATGTTGAAGAAGTGAATGTGGAAAACACTAATGAAGAGGTTCGTGAGGAGGCTAATGAAGAGGTTCATAATGATGTCTGTAAGGAGGTTTCTAATGATGTTAATGAAGAAAGTGAAATTGATCTTGATTGTGACATAAGCAATGAAGAATATGAGGATGATGATATTGATAAGTGTGATTTTAGTAATGATGTTGATGTTGATTTAACCACAACATTTGCCAATGAGGAAACATAACAATCCAAACATTATTATATTTATAATATTGAGATATACGATTTGAATGAGTCGCATACTCCACCAACAAGTGATGTTGAAGATAAGATGGACAGATTCTTAATATTAAATGAAATATTTGCATACACATGCAAGCCTCTAATTGGGTTAAATGTATGCTTTTTTTAAAAGGGGTTTTGGAGGTCAAGTGATGACTGCAATTGCTAAGCATGAAAATAACAAGATGGTTCTCATAATATATATATGGTTGTGAAAGCTGAAACAAATGATTTGTGGTAATGATTCATAAACTTATTGCTAGATAACTAAAATTTTGTTCCTCAAGTGACAGATGTTGAACTCGATGCTTCGGCAACATGTTCGACAAGATACACCAGAATCACTATAATAACAATTACTAGATGATGAAGTAGAAAAGCAATAAATAAAACAATCAATTGTTTAACCAGTTCGGTGAAACTACACATACGCTTGTGGGCCTAGTCCACAACTCAAAAAAAGAAAATCATGTATTAGTAGTTTAGTACAGTTAGTCTTACAAGTAAAAATACTTTATGTTGTCAAATGTATTTTATTAACACTACCCCAAATGACTTTCTATTTAGAGTTTTCCCATAAACATGAGGGCTTACTCACTTTCTTCTATACCACAAAACAAATGACAGAGGCAAACAACCAATAAACCCTAGTGATCAACTTCAACCTTTAACAAGATGAAAGAATATTGAATATTACAACTCAACTAAACAAACCTTTTATGCCAAGTTACTGAAACATAGAGGTGTACATAACAATTTTGAATATACAACTCAATTAGACAAATCTTCTATGCTAAGTTACTAAAACATTGAGGTGTACAAAAAAATAACAAGGACTCTTGTAAACCATAACACTTTAAGATCTTCAATGAGAATGTTTGTTTTCCAATGTAGGTTTGAGCTCCTTATATAGCAAAATAACTCTGGGATTTTCTTCATGGATTTGAGATTTATTTTCGTCCAAAATTAATGCAGAATTTGTTGAATATTTAATTTTCTACTTGGATATCTACAACACGATATGATTTGATTTAATTTAAATCTTCATTTAAATTTGAATTAATCTTTTTCCAGGTGTCAAACAAATCACCTAATCATATTGGTAAATCAATAAAAATAAAATCTTTAACAAAAATATTCTACAAAACACACTTCAAAGCGCAGCATTCTGGCACCTGTTGCACAATGCCTGGATGTCGTACTAACATGTTGGAGCATTGCGCCTAGCATGTGTCTCTTTTACAACTTCATACAGTTTTAGCAAGGTAACCCAATCTTGAATACTTGGACACTTTTTTAAGTTGTTGTTTTGCTAAAATGCAGTCAATCCATATGACCAATCTAATACGAACAACAATCTCTCCCTTTGATACATTATGGCAAAATAACTCTTCAAGATAATTGACCTTCAATAATACATTGTTAATCTTTTCATTTACCATGCCTTCAACTTTAAAGCAGTCACACCATTGGATTTCAAAGTTTTCTCATTAAAGTTTGTTATTAACATACCATAGGGGACTAAAACTTCCTTTGTCTTCTTCAATTTTTACACTATGAACATAGGTATTAGATTCACAATGTCCCTTCCATCTACGAGCAATTTCTTACTTGATTTCTATTTTTACAAACAAAAGTTTAAGAGAACTCATTTTTTTTGTTGGTGGGTCAAAATACATTGAATTATAAATAAGTTTGTTAATGGCCTTGGGATATAAGAGATTGATTAGTGTAGTTTTAAACACTTTTATAACATTCTTCTAAATTATTATTTTTGTTTGAGAATTTCTCATGTACAATACTTATCTCTTAGGTTGTTTACAAACTTTAAATTTTAATTGAATTTTATTGAAATTACTAGGTAATTTTTGGATTTAACCTCGTCATTATCATGTCACGCTCTACAAGTAATATCTTAAAATGGAAGATATGTTCATCTATTAGAATTCTAAAAATGTGGACATACTTGATCATCTCATAACCCTAATTTTGCAATAGTGTAAGCTTATACATAAGGTTATAAGGTTGTTGTAGCAGCCAAATTCCTATCCTAGACTTTATATAAGACTATCGTTGCAGCTAAATTCCTATCCTAAACTTTACATAAAACAGTTGTTACAATCATAGATTGATTCTGAGATAGTACGTTAAATTTTTAATAATAATTCAATTTTATGATTCAATTTCTTTTCTTTCAAATCCATTATCTTGCAAATTTGATTTTGATTATTAGTTAATAATTGAAATTCATGTTTTTTCTTAATATAAATTGAAGTAATAGTGGATGATTCTAATCAAAATAAATATCGAACATTCTTTTAGTAAATAAGTACTTAACATGAAATACAAAATTGCAAAATATTATAGGACATTTAGTAAATTATTTATCAAATTAATATAACAAGATTTCATAAATCAATTTAATAATCAATACATGTATTAATGGATTCTGAATTATTAAATGAGATTTGATCAATCAATTTAATAAATCAATACATCTATTAATGGATTCTAAATACAAATAAAAAACCATTTCAACTAGAACTAGGGCGACCGAATTAGATAGGCCTTAAATAATTTAATGTATAAATTTTGTGAGAATATTGGAGACATTGTCAAAATAATTTATAATATTTTTGTATATTTATTTAACTTTTTTATAAATTCTTCAAAATAATTATTGAAAACAACTTATAATCTATGGATGTATTTGTTTTAAATTATAAAAAAAAATATTCTTTGGAATCATATTTTTTAAATTATTATTTTTAGAAATAATATTCTCACTTATGTGTATGGATAAAAATTAAATTTTTTTAAGAATGATTACATATTTATTTAATTTAAAAATTATTAAAAAAAAAGTAAAAAATAAAAATATGTGAGTAATAGTGAGAAGTTCTAGGAAGTTGAGTTTATTCTCATGAAAAAATTTGGATTCTCACCCTTTATAAATAAGAATAAATAAGAAAAGAATTATGTGCAAACAATATTTCTGAAAATTAAAAGTACCCAAAAACGATTTTTAAAAATTTAACAAACATGGCATTGTTGCAATTTCCAACATCACATTCAATCCTTGAAACAACCCTATATAAAAATAGACCCCTATTCAATGACCATACGTTAGACAAAATTCATAGAATTTGATTGGAACCAGCCCAGGCTAAGTCCTGCCGACAAGGCCTCTCCCTAAATGATGAAATCTCCATGGAGTGGAATGAAGAGATGTACCTTTAGGATAATCTCTTCATAGTTCAATCCATTGGAAACATGATGAGGCCAATTACCCATCAAGATAGTCTATGCAAGGATCTTCTCAAGCATTAGATTTTGGGGCAGAAGGTAAATACAATCATAAGTTAAAATTAAAGCTTCTATAATCCATAATATACAAAACGTGATCAAAATATATACTGAGATCACTAACAAATTGCAGCCAGGAGAGAAGAAAGCCGAGTATTTTTGGTTACAAGAAAGAAGACAAGTATAATACAAAACAATCATTTTGTGAAAGAAAAAAAATCTCCCTAGTCGACAATGCGAAAAGAATAGCCGTAGGCCGTAGCCTCATAGGGAACAAATTCTGAATTTAAATTATCAAGTTCTTCATAAGAATCAACTCAAGCTCAATCTTCAGGAAGATGACACTTGCAAAAGTTCAATATTTAGCTCAAATGTAGCTCCAGGCTGCAACAGCATAAAAAAAGTTTAACAAACACAAAAGTTATAGGTCTGTCATTTTAGTAAAATGTAGAGAATGCAGGATTCGGGGTGTGATTTTACCGGAATCTCATTCATTCCCTTTTGTGCATACCCTTTTTCAGGAGGAACAATCACAGTTCGCTGCAACCGTCATTTAAGAGCGTCATTTAAGAGAACAATAAGAATAAGAAAAGAAATGACACATGAACTCTTAGCTAATAAAAACATCAGATAATACACACTACAACAAAATCAAGAGGGGGGTTTCAATCACCTTCCCACCGACTCTCATTCCTTCAACAATTGTGTACATAGCTGGTGGAGGTTTTGGTGATGCTTGTGCGGAGAATAGACCATTTGGGTTGTCTACAAATTCTCGCTTCCTTTCCTTTCCTGGCTGAGACCCCACCTTGAATTCATATGGCTTTCAAGAGCATAAAGCAGGCATATGCATCAACATTCAGCACGATCAAGTAAGGTTAAAACAACCATCATGCTTTCTTCTATGCCAGAGTTCACTAAAGTATATAAGAAATATGACTTTGGGGACATGATTAAAAATGAAACCAAGGTCAACTAGAGGTTAAAACAACCATCATGCTTTTTCTATGCAATAGATCCTACAAAGCACAGACACTTCAGCGAGTAGGTGCACCGTAGCGTCCGACATTTTTATAACACTCATGTGACACATATCAGAAAAGTTAGACATGTGTCGAAAAAATGGTTTTTTTTTCTCTTTGTTTCAACACTTTCTAAATAAATATCCACACCTAAATGACATTCAGACAACAACACATATCAGATAATTCAAACAAATGTATAAAAAATGTTTTTTAATTTGCTTCAATACACTATATATATTTTTTGGAAAATCTCACACCAAATTAAAAGGGTTCAAGTATTAAAACAATGTTATCAAAATATTAATTTTGATTAGAATATTTTTAACTCTTTTAGCAATTCATGGATAATTAATGAGAATATTTTGATTTTGAACATTCCAATTGTATAGGTTGGAATGTCTAATTGCATTAATTTAAAATGATTGGATCTGATTGTATTAATTTAATTAGCATAACTAGCTGTTTTTATTATAGGACTAATCATAGGGATTTGTTAGCACAATTTCAAGAAAACAAATTGTATATTTACTAGTTGTTATGCAGTTCATCAAAGGAACTGTGACAACACTAGCTGAAAACTCGCCTGAAATAGAAGATTGATGGACAGTACAATCCATGATTCTTTCGTGGATACTTAACACGGTTGAACTCGTCTTGCGATCCACCCTATCCTATACAGAAAGTGGGAAAGAAATGTGGGAAGACATAAAGGAAAGATCTTCCGTTGTGAATGGACCCAGAATACAACAGCTAAAGCCCAATCTGGCTGGTTGCAAGCAAGGCGGAATGACGGTGGTGACGTATTATGAAAGCTGAAAATCTTGTAGGATGAATTGGACAACCACGAGAAAATTCCTGCTTATAGTTGTATTCATTTAATTGATGCAAATGTAATATTGCATCAAAATTAGAAAAGCGGAAAGAAGAAGAAAAGGTACATCAATTTCTCATGGGATTGGATGATGCAACTTATGGCGTTGTGCGGTCTAACACACTCGTTTGCTATTTCTCTACATAACGACCAGTAAATATACAACTAGTATTTCTAAAACTGTGCTAACAAATCCCTATGATTAGTCCCATAATAAAAACTGTCACACTCACGCACACAGAAATCAGAAAGGTAAATTATTCAAACCTGAGCAATAGCTCGATTTCCAGCAAGGAGTTTAGATTCTCGACTTGAAATAGCTGTAATTCCGCGATATAAACAATCAAAATGGACCTGTTGGCAAAAACACGAAATGAAAACTAAATAACAAATCTCGAATACAAAAGAATAACATCTTCTCCCCCTTTCCAAATGTTAACAAACAAACCTGAACAGTTGAACCTTTTTCAGCAATTGGACCTTTCCCCTCAAGGAAATCATAGTATTTCAATCCATCAGCTGAATCAAACATCACAAAATTCAAAACAGATAGTAACTAAATCCAGTTTCTGAACCAGTATAACTATCTAACCACGTTTATACAAAATTATAAGATTATACAATTGGATTAAGAAATTTAATTAGCATTAAACTTAAACTGATTAACAGAAGGTGTTATAAGATTAAGGAATTACGGGAAGTGAGATAATCATCAATGGGAATGTTCTTCTTTTTGCGTCTTTCTCTGGCCTCCGCTGGCGGCGGTGGAGAGAGGAAAACGAAGGTGAAAGGCAAGGATGAAATGAGAATCGCGATGGACCTTCTCGATTGAGGAAGAGAAAGTGCGACCACCGTGAATGGCCGTTGTCTCAACCTGGTTGTGGTTGTGAGATTAGAATTCGAAAATGCGCCACCTCCATAATGAACGTTCCGTTTGTTTACGAAGAAATTTACGGAAATGCCACTGCAACTGCAAGTGTAAGGGGAAGTCATTGCTAATAAACTCCTAACCACGCACCAACCTCTAGTTTAGGCTATCCGTTTCCATTCTTCAATTTCTCACTCGTGCAATTACTCATGTACCCTTTTATTTCATACTTTTCATCTACTTGAGTATATTTTGAATAAATTTAAAATAATTCGAATAAAATTTGTTGTTTGAAAAATAATGTAAGAAATGATATTTAAGAATTATTATATTTAAATTTTTGGAAATGATATCTAATATTAAACAATTTAAAGTTCCTCTTTAATTTCATAAAATTTATTTGAATGTCAAATTACATATTATTATTATTTCATGTTTTATAAGTTGATCCTTATATTTTTTTAATTTTATAAATTTATTCTTAAATTTTTTTAAAAATTATAAATTAATCTTTAATCATTTTTAAATTTACAAACTACTCCTTTTAGAATTCTAATTTGAGTTCTTCTTTTCAAATTTTAGATTTGTTCCAAATTTTAAAAATCATAAAAATGATCTAAATATTTATCAATGAATAATTTTAATACTCTATTCAAATAAAAGAATTTAAAATAAAGTCGAATATAGCTTGTAGTACTCAAAGTTGCGAGCATTTGACTGAGTCAAATACAGCATGTTGAAGTTAGTTATTTAGTTGGTTTTATATTGTTTGATGTGCATGTAATCTTATTATAAGTAGGAAGACACTATGTGTTCGTATAGTAATTGAAAAATACACAAAGTTTAAAAAAGAGTTTTTGACAGATTGATCGATAAACATTCTTCCTTTTACTTGCATACATTCTTCTTTTCGCTTTCAAAATTTACTTTCTTAACTTTCTTCTTTTACAAATCATTGTAGAAATAAATCATCTTAAGACCAATCTATGATTAATTCAAGAGTGAAAAACCAAAATTTTGAATCAATAAAAAAAAGATAATTGAATTTTATTCTATAAATAGCAATTCAAAACACTATAGATAATAATCAATTATTAAATTTGTAAAATTCAGTAGTAAATTAAAAGAGCAAGCAAGTCTGCTCTAATTTATTTGTGTTATAAACACTGCATCTTTGATCATTATAGTTCATGAATACTGTTCTTCTACAAAAAAAAAAAATTACTCATGCACAGTCTTAGGAGACTCGTTGAACCCATGCTTCATCAACGGGTAATTATTTACACTTGCACACAGTTCAATTTCAGTTTTCCATTGCTACTTTGATTCATTCTACATATTGCTAATTTCAGTTGTTAATTCTTATAATACAAAATCAACTATTTGTAAAGTTTAAAATTTATGGTCCAGTTAGAAGGTTACGGTTATCAAAGTCATCATCCTCCCCTTTGGTTACTGTTGTGGCGGTTACACGTTCCCGCAATTCTGCTCCTGTGTCTATGTTTACATCTTGTAACGGCGTTTCCCCCGGCGTTTCCATTGAACTACCACCTAGTGTTCGAGTTTCCGTGGTCCGTCCTTTTGCTTTGTTACGCCAGTTTTTCAACGCCTTTGATGTTTGTTCGTCGAATATCGATCTCTTCATCGTTGATCCCATCTGGTATTTTTCAATCACAACACCAAAATTCATTGGTATTCTTGTTCATCATTAGTTGGATAGTAATGTAAAATGAATGTACCTGTGTGACTAGGGCATAGAGAGGAAGTGTGACATAGCTGCAAACGAATTGAGCACCTAACCTGCATGATTCAGCTTCAAATTAGATTATATTTGTTTATCACTCAATTATTGTAACTCAGTTTTCAATTTTGTTTGTTGTTTGTTATATTTTTTAAGGTCCGCAGAAGACGAAGTGAGAATAACCACTAGAAACTCATACACAACTGTCAGGTCAAGGGTTTGAACCAAGAACAATATTGGTATTTGCGAGTTGAACAGGTAAATCTCATCTCCTTGTAACTCTTTTATGTTTCTTCTTATTCTCAATTGAATGAACGAAGTTATTTAGTCGATGCCTAGGTTTTAAAAATCGGATAGAATCAATTGAATCGAGAATCAACTAGCTTATCGTTGGTTTGATCCTGTTTTAAAACCACGCCAAACCAGCTGAATTGAGAATCAGCTAGTTAATCGGTTGTTTTGATCCCGATTATGTTGTAGTCTAGTTGAACTTCGGTCTTGTTATATATAATCATACAAACTTTTATGCTTACCCAAGAGCAACTCTTATAATCATAAGACTGTCATCCTCATAAAAGCAAGAAGCCCACCCAAATTCGTACTGCATAAAAATGAAGTGTTTTAAGGATCCAATACACATTCATGACAAGAAAACAATATGAAAGTTTATTATTAATTACCCATGTCCACCAGAAAAATGTGAGCTCAAATGCATTCTGAACAATGAAAGAAAAACATCAAACTATGAGAAATTATTCTATTATTCATGATGTATCTTAATAAACTGTTATTATAAATAGAAGAAGAATGAAATACCTGGAAGAGAACATAATGTAGGAGATAAAGACTTAATTGAGGCCATTCAAACCAAAAATACTTGTCAGAGACTTGTACAAGAGGGATCCCCTGCACTACCGCATGTCTTTCCTTTATGTCAAGTGCCATTCTAGTAATAATTGCTTGAAGCTTTGTTCCAACAGCTAGAATCACCTTCAAGTAAATCAATTGTTAGTCATTTGTTTCTCTATAAACATAAATGCACACGTACACACGCGCGCACACAAAACCAATATAGATGCTTACTGCTAGTGGAAGAAAAGACACCCAAAATGCAGCATGCCAACCTGAAAACAAGTTATTATAGAATACTCACTATCGATATAAATTTGAGTGACAAATAAGGAAACCAATATAGTTTGTTTGGTTGAAAACAAACCGTGGACATTTACGAGCAAAAATAACACCACTGATCCCCAAAGTATTGGACTGTCAAAATCACAAAAATACACATTAAAAAAAACCAAAAAGTTCAAGAGATTCGAGGATAAAATATACTTCAAATCAAAGACATGATGACTGCAGCCGAGTGTTGGCAGTTTTGTCAAAATTACCTGATTCCTACAACTACCTTGAAGTCATCCTCTAATGACCTCTTGATATATTTTTGAAAATCAAACTTGCTTCCCGGTGCTAAATGGACCTACAAGTTTGAATAGGGACACAAATTTATACATGAAGAAGACAAAAAGTACAGAAAACATTATATTTATATTGCACATGAAAATCTACTAACAGAAACAAATCCATGTCGCATTGTTAAGTAGTCAGCCCTTCGAACCGATCTGAAAAATTGCCGAAAGAAGCATACCTGAAAAATTGTTCAGAAACATATTATTGATACACCTTTAATATGTCTGCAAAATAGACATAGTTTCGAATTGGTTGTGATGAGTGCTTACAAAATAGAAGGTAACAGGTGTTTTTGTCCAGAAACTGTTGTGATCCCTCACAAAGGATGTCTCATGAGTAAGCCTGAATCTTCTAGGATCTGAACAGTTGTTACACACCCAATTCAGAATTGAATAGGTTAAGAAAATGAGAACCTAGAGTCCTTGCTTGGAGAAAAAAGACTATAAATAACTTGAAGCTAACAACACATTATTCATGTGTCGATGCCTTACCATTCAAGGCATCTTCATCGACCATATGGTCTGATTCCCATTCCTTCCAACCTTTAATCTGTCATAAGGAAGAAGAGTTTCTTAATTTATAGAATCACAAAATAAACCACTAGTTTTCCTATTGGATGAAAAATAGTTATATAATGTGAAAAAATGCAAAACATTCAAGGAACCAACACAAACCTTTGCTCTACCAAGTGTCATTGTAATGGCACTGAATATCACATGGAAGACAGCCAAGAAGAAAATGAAAATATGTAACTGATGCAACCCGCCCACTGAAATAAGAGGCAAATACCCCTGCACGAAACAACCAAAATTCAATTTCATGAGCTTTTTTTTCTTTTCTCTGCGCGAACAATTAGGATCTAAATGATTTTTTTTTCTCTAACAGCATATTTGTTTTTCACCAAAAGTCCTTTTTACAAGAAATGGGCAGAGTTAAGTTGATTACCGGCTTACATCCTGGGCCACCGCCACCACCAGAGAGAACCCTGCGTTCATATGATAAGAGCCTGCGATGATGTTCACCATTAGACTCACCCTCCTCGGCCGGTTTCGTCGGTGTAGGCTCGTGATCGGTTGGTGTAGGCTCGTGATCGGTTGGTGTAGGCTCGTGATCGGTCGGTGTAGGCTCGTGATCGGTAAGTGCATGTTCGTTTGGATGATCAGCTACCCTCTCATGCATCGGAAGACATGGCAACATTGTAGTTCCATATTTCATTGGTATACACACTTTTGATATGTAGTTTTGCCCAAATGTTAATAGCAATGAAATAAATCCCAAAACCATAAGCTCTGCAAGCCAATTCAATTAATTTAACTAACAAACAAACATTACAATGTTAATTAATAAGAACAAGAAACAAAAAATGTTTTGTCTACCAGCTTTAATCTTTTCAAGAGCTTCTAGAAGAGCATGTTTCTTTCTCTCTTCAAACACCTGAAGAAGGAAAAAAAATCAATGTTACATTACATCACATAAATCAAGAATCTATAAACAAAAAAGAAGAATTTTAAATAACAAAAATTAGCACGATTATATGTATATATGTATGTAGGTACCGTTGCAAATTTATGTATGAGTTTCTCTAAGAGTATGGAAATGATAACGATAACCGCACAAACCGCAGCGACAGCCCATGTAGGAGTCACATCTAGCTGCCGTTGGTCACCGCCTCCTCCTCCCGCCATATATGGTTGTTAACAAATGAAAATTATGATAATTGTAATGGTGGTTATTTACGAGGGTTTGTTTAGATTGTGAGTTTTGTATGAATAAAAAAACATGTAGGACAGAAATTGTTTGATGACATCCTCGTGCATTAATTCGTTTGTGATCATGCAAATATGCTTATCAAAATTGTTTTTCTATGTTGCTGGTGTTATTGAATTCTTGTGATATGACACGCGTGAATCAAATTGTGTTTTGTTTTGTTGCATTCTATTCTAACTCTAATTAACCACTGCAAATGAATGGAGAGGAACAAGTGACGCTTAGACCCTGGATTTTATTATTACATACACACATTTTATTATCTAATTCCGGCCTCTAGTTTCTTAATTAATTATCTATAATGACAAATGGCAATACCATATTTATAAATACAAATTATTTGTACTTTTGAGTTTGAGTGGTCTTCTCTTAGTTAAGTTAATAAATAGAATTTAAAAAGTTAAATCAATGAGTAATAGATTAATGTAATATTTCATATTAATAAAAATTCTTAGACAAACAATTATGCTGCACGTGATCTTTGTATCAGAGTGGCTTGGCACGTGAAAGGTCTTCCGTGCAAATGGCTCATCAATGGATGTTGTAAATAATTACTCAAATTTTTATCGAAAAAATTACCTTAAAGTAAGTCTTTAAACCAATTATCTACACGAGTTAAAAGGTGATATGTTGCATTTAAAATTATATCAGACAATTACATATAATTATTTATGTTAAGAAATATTTTTTAGTGATTGAAACTTAATCGGTCACAAACTCGTAGAAGCCTCAAAACAATATAAATTGTTTAAAATTTACAAATATTTTTTTAGTAGGATCGTCTTTGAGAGCGTGCAAGGTGGTCTACCGCACAAGGTCTCAAACTTGTCAAGGTTAAACTATTAGTTAAATAGGATTTCATAAAATATTTGTCACGTTAAATTCTGAAGGTTAAACTATTAGTTAAATAAATTTTCATAAAATATTTGTCACGTTAAATTCTGATTAAATAGGATATCTTTTTATTTTTCAAGAGTTAAATGTTTTATTAGGTAAGACATTCAATTTAAAAGAGGAGAGTGTGTATTTATAGTTACTATATAGTACGTAAATTGAAAATTCACACATTTTAAAATGTTTTATCAGGTAGATCATTCAATTCAAAAGAAGGGTGTATGCATATATACTATATGGTATTCCTCTTTAATAAGAAATGAGACAGGTTGGTGGATCCTCTTTTTTTTCTTTGTTTCTACTACATTGTAATTAAAATATTTTATTTAGGTCTCTCCAGAGTTTAAAAAGTCTTTTGAATTTTAGTAAATAAATCAAATCCAAATTATTTTTTACATTTTTTCCTCGCCCTTTGATTTTTTTAATTTTTTTTAATGTAACAAATATATTTTTCCAATTTTAAAATCTAGCATATAAAAATACATTTTGGAAAACACAACTTATATCATAAATCTTTTTTCTCAAGTAACACTTTTTAGATTTCACAATCTCATTTAAATTCATATTTTATAATTCAAATATGCGAGAAGAGTGTTACCACTTACAAATGAGTTGATTGCAAATTTAAAAGGTTAGTCGTATAAACATTGGCAATCCAAAAATTTAGTTTAATGGGTTGTATGTATTTTGGTTAATGAAAAGTTTTATGATGTTTTATAAAATAAATAATTATAATAACAAAAACTAAATGATCTGAACTTAAACTATACATAATTTGACTCGTTAGTTTCATGAGTTAACTCGATTACATATGAGAAGAATTATACTGTCTTTAAGATTAAATTTAAATATTTATTTTAAATCTTAAACAAATTTAATCTTCAATTTAATAATTTTTGAATTAGACTCTCAAATGTATCTCTTGAAAATTGTGTAGGTTTTGAATTAGTAGATTTCAAAGATAAAGTTAAATTTCAATATGATAATTTTTATTTTATTTTAATATTTTATTTTAAAAAAATATATTTATTTAAAATGTCAAATATACTAAAAATATATATATATATATATATTTAAAAAAATAGTTTTTAAGTCCGTGAATTATGTGAGCTGAATCTAATGAGATGAATCTAACGAATTGAACCGAACTGTTCGTGAACTTATAATAAGTCGAGTCTAAACTTAAAAAAAATTCGAGCCGAGTTGAGGTAAGTTCGACTCGACTCATTTCCAGCCCTAATGCATATATTTAAATATAAAATAATATGAAAAAGTTGATTCATGAATTTAATAACATTTATTTTGTTAAATTTATAAATAAAGTAAATTTAATATATTATAATAGTTCATATTTTTATTTTGACAATATTAAAAAAATATCAATTTTAATTAATTAATTCTCAAAGTATTTGGTTATGTAAATTTCTTATAATAAACTCAAATTATTATTTGAAAAACATAAAACAAATGTTAAATTTATATAATTGATTAGTGATAGATAAATATATATTCCATGTATGAATTGGAATTGTGTGTATCTATCATTCTATTGTATTTCATCATTCAAACAAAGTCATTGAAATTTATTAATATATTATAATTGTTAATTTGAAGTAATTCTTTAAAATCATTTTTATAATAAACTCCAATTAATTAATTGATTATAAATAACTATAAACCAAACTTATTTTTTAGTGACTAATTTTCAGAAAAATAATTTTAAAACAATGAAATTATTCATTGGGACAGATGTTATGAATTAAAATTCTAAGAATAAAAGTAAGTAGGGTTCACATAATAGTACACAACCAATCTGGTGTATAAAATGGATGTATGGCTGGTGATGGCAATGGTTGAGGGTAAGAAAACAATGGAGTCTCGTAGTAAGATTGATAAGTAGTGTATGGATCAACTCTTCCATAAAAAACATATCTTGAATCATAATATGGATAAGGTCTCAATGATCTTCTTCCATAACCAGATTCCATCATTCTTCTATCAAAATATGGATGGTTGGCTTCATCATATATAGTATGGTATTCTTCATAGTAACCATACATGTTGCTATGATAGGGATAATATGGATAATAGTTTGGCTGCAAAATTAATCATGAATATAAAAGAAAAATCATTAGTAACAGTAGTACAATTGGAATAAAATGAGTTCTTCTGGTTTAAGAATTATTTACCATGTTTGTTGGAGGAGGATACATATTTGTATATGGAATAAGAGAATAAGAGAAATGAGATCGAAATGAAAATGTTTATATGTAATAAGTGGAGAGAGGTTGGTTATAATGAGATTGATTATTGCTTTTAAAGGGTGATTTGTTTATTAATGTGAATATATTAACTTGTCATTTTTATATTTTAACAATGATTATATATAAAAGTACATTTATAAAATTGAACATGTAAGATATCTAAACGGAAGTTTAAAGGGGTTTAAACTTGTCTATGATTCTGTTTTCTAGAATTTAAAATAAAAAAAATGGATAGTATAACACAATGTTGAGTCACTTATATATTTAACACAATACACTAAATAAGAATTTCATTGTATAGAGAATAATGACAAATAAAAACACAATTATTTTTTTTACAATTTTACTAAAAAAAATAGTAATAAAATAATAAATAATAATAAATTTAATGATAAATAATTATTGATAAGATTCATTTATAATATCATGTTAGCTAGAGAAAGTATGTTTATTAAAAAAATTGAAATAAATGTAATGATAGATAGTTATTGATAAGACTCAAATATAAATTTTAATAAAATAATTATTTAATTAAATATCAAATTTTTTATTTTTTTTAGAAATCAAATGTTTTTGCGCGCAACTACACAAATTAATCCGTCAAACACTTGTGCGTGTTCAAAGCTTTTGATTAAACTAGAAACGATCATTTATCATCTCATTCAAATATTCTTGAATAATTTTGTCTTTAAAAAAATTACTTTTGGATTTTACATTTTTATATTCTAGAACATAATTTGTAGGTATAAATAATTTATTTTCTTGATTGTTAATCCGCCTCAAATTTACTATAAGATAAAAGAAAAAAAGTGTGTAATTAAATGTTTACTCAAGTTTAAGATAAAATGTTAACTAAAAGTAATTGATTATATCATAATCTATCATTAACAATATATTAAAATGTAATATGATACAACTATCTTATTTTGACTACAATGTTATGCATTAAACGAGACCCAAAAAACAAAACATTTCATATTTTGTTATATTTAGATTAAATTCTATAATCTTTAATTTTTAAAACTTGAAAAAATTAAAACGCTATTAGATGAAGGCGTAAAAAAACCTTCAAAATATATAAGCAAAAATTAAATATAAAAAAATTACAATATTTTTAATGGGTTTTTTCGCATGCTCAGATTTAAAATCATAAAGTCAATATTTAAAATATCGCAGATTTAAAATTATAAACTCAATGATTATGAGTTGGATTAGTCACTAGGTTGGACGATGAAGGAAAAATAGCGTAATAAAGTCCTTTTCTAATAGGGGACCGAAATGATATTTTTGCTATCATTATTTTGTCAACAAATCGTTATTATCTTTATTTAATTAACGGTTATTTATTGATATTTTTCATTTTTAGATCAACAGAAAGTGTACAAATAATTAAATATCACTTTAAAAAATGTTGATTATTATTATTTTCCTACAAGCAACTTTCACTTCATTTGAGAGAAAATATTTCACATCAATTATTTAAATTAGTTTTTAAATTACACATAAAATACTAATTGAGACTAAATTCACTCAATATTAAAAAGAAAATAAAAATAAACATTTAAGCCCATAAAGAAAAAAGAGAAAAACCACAAGTTTAGCCTATGAAAACACCCTATGATCAAATAACAATACTGAAATGCAATGACAGTGGTCAATGAATTAGTACAGAGAAGGTTGTGATCCATTAGCCTGTACAGATGGTGGCAACAAGACAAACTAGAAATCAATAGCATGTTTTTGGATTTTTTTTTTTTTAATAAAGAGAAGAAAAAATTGCAACTAATGGTGAAATGGAGTAGAATGGAATGGTTAACATTCTACTATATAGATTTTAAAAAATGGATGTTATCATATTCCATTCCACATTATATCACCATCCTAAACATACCCTATGAGAACTTGTTTTGCTGCGAATAGCTGGGAACAAACACGGGAAGTTGAGCACCTCTTTGTGATCTACCTTGTTGAAAATCTCTTGCTGTATTATCTCTGTCCAAAACACCGGCTACTGAGCTATTATTTCTTGCTCCGGCATTTGACTGTTGTTCACTAAGAGCTGGGCTGCCAAAAAATATAGAGCGGCCTGTGTATGTTAACTCTGTTCCAGGAGCGTGAGAGCTGCCTTGAGCTCTAGATGGGTTTGGGACAAAGCGTCCCGCTGCTTGATCCCAAAACACTGACGAGCTTCTATTCTCTGAGACAGTCAGGCTGTTATTTCTCATCGGCACACGTGCACCGTTTTCATGAACTGGATTTACATTCCCATTGCTTCCTATAGCTGATGAAGGAGACGGATTTTGAGATGGTTGCTGATACATGGGGTTGAAATGGTCTCGGTTCAAACCTGGCCACTGAATCGGGGAAGGAGTTAAGTTGGAGACTTGTGGACTGCTGAAGTTACTCATACTGTGGTGACATGCATCTAAATCTTCCCTGCTTGCTTGACTGGGAGGGTATGAGCTCTTGGAAGGAGATAGCCTTGATGTACCTGCTGCATCATATTTATTATGAAATCCTTGGTTGCTATTAGGGCTGCTTCTTCCACTCACATTGCTACTTGATAAATGGTCTGCATCATATGCATGTGATCGAGAACTAATAGGACGAAGCACGGATGATGATGCTCTAGCTTTAGCTAATGCCTTAGCTGCATCGTTGGAATCTAATTTTGCAAGTTTCCATGCACTTATTCGTACTGGGCGCTGGTTCAATTTTTTTCCTTTGTCAGGTGGTTGTATTGCATCTGGGTCCATAGTAGATGGAAGGCGGCCTGGCTCCAATTGATGTATCATTTCATCCTGCTTATTCAAGGTCAGACACTAGATCAACATCCAACAATGATTACCTATTATTAAGAGGTATTCTATAGTGTTTTGTGCATTATTTTATTCAACTCAATTCAACTTTCTTATCGCTCACTATAATTATCTATTTGTAATGTTTAAAGATAGGTTATTCATTTAAAACAGTTCATAATCATATAATTCAGGAAATTGTACAAAGATGGCAGTACCTGGTGATCCATAAAGATTCTCGGAGGTGTACACCAGGCACCTTTGATCTGCAAACTCATTCCGACAGAGCTTCTTCCGCTTATCACAGTAACAGCTGAACTAGTAGGAGATGAAGGTAGACTCTGCTGTTCACCCGCATCAACTGAAGGACCGGGTGGTTCAGTCATAGTTCTCATGGCAACAACATACTCGTACGTTGTAATACCCTGTAAGACAAAATAACAGCTAAGAGTATGTTCATGAAAATATATAATTAGGAGGAAAGAGTCTTGATTATACCTTTCGGATCAGGATCATATGAAAAAAGAATAATTCTCCCAGTGGTATAATCGCAAGTAAAGAAACTGCTGTGCATATGGCCTGTGTAACAGGATTAAAAATTGCATAAAAATAGAAACTTATATCTTCAATCTTTGAACAAATCATATTTTGTTGAAGTGAAAATCAGAGGGAACATTGTGAAAAAGTTTTGAATTTATTAATATTTAACAACTCGACTATTCAATGATGTTCATAGATTAGGTAATGTGTGTAATTGAAAATTATGTTGAATAATTTCCATCAAACACAACTGATAAATATTCACAACCAACTAATAAAAAACAAATTTGTAGGATATCCAAATTAATGTTTATAATAGAAGGGTGTAACTTTTACATTTCAAGCCAAATATAACCTCCCATCAATGGAAAGAATCCAGTATTTTAAGCTATACAAGAAATATTCTGCAACCATGGTTAAGCTTACACAAAAAGTAACTTTAGTTAAGTAAAGTTTATTTCTGGTTCGATAAATAATTGTTTCAGTTATCCTATTTGAGATGAAGTATAAAACTCTCAGAAAGAAAAAGAGAGCAAATGTACCACTATTGTAGCAAACAGGGCTCGAGTGAATCCAGCTCCAAGCTTTTCAGCTATCAGATACTCTGTATCCTTCTTAGCAGCAAAGCATCGGACAAGCACAAGAATCCCAACTCCGCATTCGACTACAAGCTGTGACATGACATGCATGAACAAAGAGTAAGAAATTTACAAAATCATAATATAGAAGGTTCTTTCAACATAAAACTGAAGAATAGAAAGGAGGGGGATAACTAAATTTAGGACAAGCTAGTAAGCATCTTTATGTTACTTACCCAAAGCAGGCTCACCGCCATTAGGCACACAAACGAGATGTAATTCTTCCTTCCAACACAATTGTTCAACCACTGAACAAAATAATAAATTTAATGATTTTTTGAAGAATATAAAAGCTAAGGAAGACAAAATAACAAAACAAGCATACAGATGCACACAGCATCTCAAGTCCAAAGCATATACCCAATACAGTCTACTTCAGGGCAATTTTCATTGAAAACCCACAGGCTTCATTGCAAATGGCTAACATAGGAGACAACGAAAGAAACCAACTCGTGTTATTACATAAAAGAGGGAAAATTCTTGGCATACAATTGAACACCCATAATTATTTGATTTCAAGACTCTCCTCAAACTAAAACCCCCAAGTCTACACAGTTGACAAGATAGCCAGCCACTCAAAATCTTTCATCCAATTTATTGTCAATATGCCATATTTCTGTTAACAAACTCCCTAATTAAGCAACCAAATAAGAAAGTTGGCATGACCTTTTATTATTAGTATGACCACTATGTTATCAAACTTGGCTGTTCCGGCTGTTATCTCGGCACGGAACAGAAAAACCAAGAAAACTTCGTCATGCCGTGCCGTTCTGTCACAAATTGGGTGACTTGGCTGGAACGACCGCGATAATGAGACTGGATTTGGAACAACGCCGCTCTGATGCGACCGCTCCAACCGTATATGATATTACCCAAAGTTATTTTATTGAATTTTAATTTTATTGACTTTTATTGACATTTGGAAATATGTTTTGCACAAGACTTACGGTTTTTATTTCTAAATATGAATAATTCATGAATTTTGATCAACATGTTTTAGTTTTAACAATTATGTGTTCATTAGTATTAATTGTATTAGCGGACGCAACACTAAAATATTGGCTGTTCCGCTCCCAGCTCCCGTTCTGTTCCCTTTTTGGGGATGGGTGTGCCGCTATCCGATAACATAGGTATGACAACAGACCACTAGACATGAGACTAGGAAAGTACAATATTGAGTCATTCAAATACCCAGTAACTGACTAGGGGTTGGGTTCAAGCAAATCTTACCCGGCAATGGTGATCAAATCCATCAACACATTTGTCACAACTTCTACAATGCTTACTGAACTTCCGAACCTGCAAAATGCATCTAACAAGATGTAATACTAAATAACACATCATAGAATTTTCATGTTCTGGTGAGGCGAGTAAATGAAAGAAAACTCCTCAATTAGATCTATTCAGATAGAGAGTAATACAAAAGTGATCATGTGGTATGCAAAGAATAATCTAAAAGAAAATTTTTGACTTCTGTTGATTAAAGGGGTTAATTGTCCATGCTTGAACTATCACGAGTTATCAAGAAAGGGGTGTGTGTCTATGACATATATTTTTCTGAATTTCATATACGGCAGTTTTGGGAGGCAGGTTGTTTTATTCATCATCTAAACAGAAGCAAACTTTGCTGCATTCTATGACACCTTATCTCCATTTTTTACTTTTATCATTTTTTATTTTTCTCGTATTGGCTTTATTTGGAGAATATACTTAGTTTTTTTTACAGTAAATGAGCAAACCTCAGCATTGCATAAAGTACAGAACAAAGCATCCTCCTCTCCAGATTGTTGCTGTAGATCTTCATCACTACGGCAATCTTCTATAGCAAGGAAACTACACAAGAAACATCCGATTTTGGAGCACCCATTCGAATTGTGTTGATCGGACAATCCTTCATCCTTTAGTCCTATCTTGTTGGGTTCTGCAAGAGAAGATTAAAGTTCAAATAACGCGGGAAATTATCAAACGGCAAAGAAATTTGCTGTTTTAGTCATTAGAGTGTTGCCATTATATGCTAAAATAATGGCATGGTTTAATCTGTTGTTACTTGTAACTGCTTTGGGTTTTGTTGTGCATCCAGTTACTTAGAGCCTAGTGAACAATGTCACTGCTGTACAAGTATAACCACTTCAATTGCAGTTCTTTTTATTTCATTGATGATTAGTAATTTATTTAGCAACTCTTATTAATAAGCAGTATTACTAGCACTAATTACAAAAATTCAGGGAAAACATGTCGATGGTTGTGATGAATCATGAAGTGAATTTGATATGAAGGATAAACCTAGAGCATGACAATCATATCAATAAACGCCAGTAGCTTTCAAATTCCAACCTGCTAACTCTTCATCAAGTTTTGATCTATTCTTAGAAGTTTTGTCACAATCAAGCATTACTCCCATATCAGCAGGGTCAATGGCAGTGCACCGAACATAGAGAAGGAATACAGAGAATGCCTGCAGTTAAAAATTCAAGAACAAGTAAATGAAAGAATCCTTCACTCCACAATTCTAAATGAAAAACGGAACGAGGGTATAGAAGAATCAAATTGTTGCTTACCAGTACAGAATAAACACCAAAAGCGACATATTCATAGATGTCCTTTCCAAGAAAAGGAGCAAAGAAGGCATAATAAGCAATGCATAACAAGAAAAAAACCGTTATAGCCACAACCTGTTCACAAATCTCAACAAACAGACAAAATGTGAGAACTTTATGTGAATAACGGTTCTGAATGCCATTACAAATTCAGTAGTAAAAACCTATGAAGAACGGACACCAGAAACACAACACAGACACGTCGACACCGGTAATAATTTAAAAATATGAATAAATTAAACGTACTCAGGTGTCAGAATTGGTTTCAGACGCCAATACACATTTTTCCCAGGTGTTGGTGCTACAGAGGTAAGAGCACATCTCTTCCATTCTAGAGAGCATGATACTAACTAAAGTGTTGAATTTTATTCAAAATGTGTTATTATTGACCCTTAAATTTATCATTATAAAAAAATCTAAAAATGAGAAAATAATATAATTACACTAAACTCAAAAGCTGGAATGTAAAATCAGAATAATGTTAAACAGTTAAAAAGTACTAACAAATGTAATAAATGATTACTTGAGTTGGAAAGCACGTTCATCTAGAAAGTAAGGAGCAAAATTCAATGTTATATTAAAAAAAAAATTTTAAAAAAAAAACGACAAAAGAGATTCTGAGCAACAACAAAACAAAAAAGCTATTCTAAAATTCCAATTATTAAGCAAAAGCAAAATCACGAAAATTATGAAGGCGTAATACAGAAAAAAAAAAAGTTGCGGCTAAAATGGGAATGAGGAAGTAAACGAGAAAGTCAAAAGGTGGAAAATGGAAAAAGTGGAAGAAAAATAACATGATGAAAACGGAATTCGAAAGAGGAAGAAGAATGTACCTGAAAAGTGTGAAAAGGGAGTTCCCAACCATGACGTCTACCCATTTTGATGAGTCTGAAAACGATAACAGACTAAGAAATCAGAACCATTTTGGGTTCAAGTTTCGCTACGAACAGTGGAAGAAGAAGAAGAAGAAAGTGGAAACGGATAATTGAAGAACTCTTAGATTAGGGTTTACGGTTTTGCAGAGTCAAATTCAAGTGTGAGAGAGAGAGAGAGAGAAAGAGAGAGAGAGAGAGAGAAGAAGCTCTTGAGTATTGTGAAGAAAATGTAGTACAGAGAGAAAGTGTAAGGCCACTTACTCTACTAAAATATTTCAGAATTCATTTTAAATATATTTTTTTCTAGTTTCTCATTGTAAATATTATTATTATTATAAAATGAAAATGTTAATCAGTGTCTTAATTTTTAAATAAAAATGATTGATATTAAAACAACAATTTGACTCAAAAATTATAATAAGAATATTTGTCTACAATGTGAATTTTTTTAAGGTAATTATTTTATAATTACTGAAATAATAAGAGAGGGAATTTTTTTAAGAAATAAAAAATGAACATATTTGTAATAAAAAAAATTGATGCATGTAAAATTTTGATAAAAATTTTATATTGAATTTTTTTTTCAAAATTTTTTTATATTAAAAACAAAAGAAATATATATCTATTATATAAGAAAATTAGATGTTGTTGAAATCTCATTTATGTACTTATCACTAGATTTGACAAAAATAAGGCTAATTTGATCCATATATCTCAATTTTGAACTAAACTAGTTAATTGAACCGATTTGATTTCTATTTCTTCTACATTCTCTCACTTTAGCCATGATGTGAACTGGACTTCACTCTATTTGGTTTCAAACAAACCTATCTAATCCAACTATTTTTGCTTTTCTCTTTTGCTGATGTCTCATCACATCACTTTTAAACCCTTTTGTATTCTATAAATATGCATTTCTGGCTAATATGTTATTCTCTTTATCTTTCTCTTCCATCTTCGTATTTTCCCAATCCACATATCTTCCATCTTCCGTCTTCATCTTTCTATTTTGTTTTCATCTTTTCCTAATCGAATATTAATTCCTCTTTCTCTTTCGTCTTCATCTTCATTAACAATATTTTCTACTTTTTATATTCCTCTGCCTCTACCGTGATTTGGTGAGATAAAGGAAGAGAATTAGGGTGAATTTTATGGATGAAGAATCTGGATTTAGATAAAGATAAGTGGAGTTAAGGTTTGGAACGATGATGAATATGGAAGGTTGGTTAGGGTTATGAGCGAAATTTTCGGATTTGGTTGAAAGATATGAAGTAAGAAATTGTGAAGATTCGAGAAATATTTGATGCACAAAATGCATCCATTAATGCTTCTATGGTGGGTTTGTTTATTTGATATACTATACGATTTTCCTTTTTAGTATATTATTGATTTGTTTTCAACTATGTATTTGTTACTTTTATCATTGAATACTAAAGGAAAAAGGTGATTGAAGACTTAAAGAAGAAGAAGGCAGTTTAAGAAAATGGTGATTGAATGACTTAAAGTGATTTTGTGTCTATGCAAGTTATTTCTGTTGGAGAGTCCGAGAGAGATGGGAGCACCAATGAGACTAATGCTTCAGGATCACAAGAGAGAGAGAGAGAGAGAGAGAGAGAGAGAGAGAGAGAGAGAGAGAGAGAGAGAGAGAGAGAGAGAGAGAGAGAGAGAGAGAAAAGACATTACATCTCAACCCAAACCTTAAGGTGTTAGATACATGGGTCATCTTTCTTATAAATCCAACATTTCACCCATTAATAGGCAATGTGGGACTTTAACCACTCACACTTGTATCCAACATTCTCCCTTACGAGTGTGAGACCCTCACATCCTATAACGGGATCCAACACTAGATCTAACTCCCGTTCCCCCACAAAGTCGAACCATGATTGTGATACCACTATTGGGAAGTTTGGGAGAGTCGAGAGCACCAATGAGAGTAATGCTTCAGGACCACGAGAGAGAGAGAGAGAGAGAGAGAGAGAGAGAGAGAGAGAGAGAGAGATACCACATCTCAGCCCTGTTGGAGGAGTTTATCACTAGGGAGCATTGAACATTGGGCCAAGAGCAACACAAGTGAGAAAGACACCACATATTCACCCAAAACCTTAAGGTGATATGCGTATGGGTTCTTCCACTTATAAATGCTCAATTATCCATATTTATAATCAATGTGAGACTCTAACTTACACTTGACTTTATTATTCTCAACACTCCCCCTCAAGTGTGAGTCCACAATATTCCCCCCTCATGTGGAAACTCTTTTGCCCACATATATTTGTATTGCTGTTGACACCCCCTCAAGTGTGAGTCCACAATACTCCCCCCTCATGTGGAAACTCGTTTGCCCACATATATTTGTATTGCTGTTGACACCTCTTTCCTGGACATTTTGATACACCTCTGCTCGGCCATTTCGATTTCAACGGAACACCACTTCCTGGGCATTTTGATACATGTAAGTCGGTCCCTTTACTCGAACCAGACTCTTATACTATTTGTTGGAGAAGTTTATCACTATGGATCATTGAACATTGGGCCAAGAGCAACACAAGTGAGAGAGACATCACATATTCACCCAAAATCTTAAGGTGATAGGTGTATGGATTCTCCCACTTATAAATGCTCAACTATCCACATTTATAATCAATGTGAGACTCCAACTCACACTTGACTTTATTATTCTCAACAAACTCAAAATCTTGAGGTGTTTGGTAAATAGGTCATCTCTCTTATAAATCCAACATTCCAGCCATTAATATGCAATGTGGGACTTTAACCACTCACACTTGTATTTTCAAGGGTTTGGAAAATACCTTAAAGAATAAGAAGGCAGTTTAAAAATTATACGGCTGGTTACTCAACCATCATGTAAGTTATTCTTTCTTTTGTGTGTTCATGGGTGCTGTGTGAGTAGCTATATTATCAATTTCACTTTTTCTGATCTCCCTCCCGAGTGCAGAAAAGCATATAATGATAAAAAAATCTTAATTTCCTTTTTATTGGCATCCAGAAAATCTTTCTTAGTTATAAGTTATCGATTGGTCGTAGCTTATCTTATTAATATGTTTTGCATTCTTCATTTAGTTCATTTTATGTTTTTGAGTTCTTTTGCTATTAATAATACTTTGTTTTTTCCAGTTAAAAAAATCATCTTATTGACTGATTTATATAGATTATTGGATGCAAAGGTAGGATAGGTAACTTGACAAGTGTTTTTGAACCTTGAAACATGTTTTATGTTTTTGTACATTCAATAATTTAAACATGTGTTCATATGCTTTTGGTTTGTTGGTCGTATTAAGCTAAACTAATATAGAAGTGGATATTGAGCTTCGCCCTTCATTATTACCAAATATATATATATATATATATATATATATATATATATATATATATATATATATATATATATATATATATATATATATATATATATATATATATATATATATATATATATATATATATATATATATATATATATATATATATATATAAAATGGATAGCAGGCAACAACTCATGCAATATGAAAGACCAAGTTGAACAAGCACGTCGACTTTACTTATGAGGGGATACTAATTGAAAGATTTTGATAAATGATAAAGCCTCAAATGAAAGTCAAGATCCTGCGTAAGGTGAACATACTCTTAATTGTATATACTTTTTATGAAATTTTTTCATTTCAATAGTAGCAATTCTAATATAATATCCATTTAACTAAGTTCTTATGATTGAAAATGTCACTCAAGTTCTCTACCATTAGTACATTCAAGTCTAAATATATTTTTATTGATAGGTAATTAAATAAAACATATGGATCTTTTATGCGTCATCATATTTTAAATAACCATTACAAATTTATGATATTTTTCATGGTTAATGTTGGCTTTTATTTTTGTTTATTCTTCTATAACATCATGATTATGACTTATTTTTCATAGGTTATGCGCTTAAATAATAACAATGTTGTTAAATGAATGAGTTACATGATAAAAGGTTTTCAGTATTTTTTTTTCTAACAGGTTTGTTAACAATGTGGAACCTTTCAATCTAGTATAATATCTTTGAAACAAGTTTTATGTTTTTTTCACTCTTTTTATCAAACACAACTTCATATGCTTTTGGTATGTTTGTTGTATAAAGTTTGTTCTGGACTGAGTCAAATGCTGGCCCACCGTTGGGCACGATTCAACTCAGCCCTTCGTCGGGGAGGGCCCAATGAAGGCTCAATCTTCCAACGTCCACAGGAAGCTCTCACATATCTCCCCCACGGTCTCCACGTGCCCCTCACGCGGGGGCACATCATCAGGCAACTACCCACCTCCCGAAGATCACGGGGCAATTGACCCAGGACGAAGACCATGTGCTGGTTTTCTCTACGCCACATAAGCCCTAGCAGTTATTTGTATTGGACCTTACAATTCAACCCAATGCAAAGTAACCATTGGCCCAATGCTAGGGACACATTATAAATATTCTCTTTCACTAGAGGGTCAGATATTCAATTCTCTACACACCTTTTTATACTTGCTCTTTCTAACCCGTCTCTTACTTTGGCATCAGAGTACCTTGCAGGTATACCCCCTCTTCTTCTTCACCACCGGTGAATACAGGAGCTCACGACGTGTTGCTGGCTACTGATCATTTTTTGATCCGGTAAGATCGGTGGCATCGTCTGTAGGAAACCTTGCTTCCCCGTTCTTTCTCCCATAGAAATTCAAGAACCAAAGCAGTTTTTAATCTCCAACGATCATGGTCAGCCCACGCAATGACGACAACATCCATGAAACCGCCTTCACCAATGGCGACAGTCACGAACCCAACGTGACCGTTCACATTGAGGAAGGCGACGTCAGGGACGGGCACACCGCCTCGCCCTTCCCTGACTATATGACCTACAACACTGCCCGACACCTTAACAACCCAGCTGTCTTCCAACCAATTCATATGCTCGCCAACACCGACCCAACCATGGTGGCTCTATTCGCGACAATCAATCAGA